TTTTAAGGAGTCTTATTCTGTTAGAGAGTTTCTTTCCTTTACTTGTGTAATTCTGGTATATTTTCACTTGTATTTAAGCACATCTTGAATTCAATAAAACACATCATTTTTGATACAGCAAGACCCATTATTCAGTCAAAATAACTGTCTTTTAGAGAGTTATCACATAGAAAACCCTAAAAGTATTCACAGAGTGACTACATTAATAGTGAAAAACGAGGAAGAAAATGCATCTATTGTTAGCAAAGTGCCTAGTTATCCATTCACCACACCACAAGTCACGATTCCAGGGGTGTAGGGGACTGATAATGGCTTGCATAAATACTTGTTGAGACCCCTTAGTTAGGTCGTGCCATCTTCAGGAGTTCCAATCATGGCGAAGAGACCATAATTCACGTGCTGCAAAGAGGAGCACGTGAACTTGTGTGAAAAAACAAATCCAGATTTTGCTACACACGAAACCTAAAGCATTCTAATGGCTCACTTGGTGGGGTCCTGAATTCGAACATGTAAGGTGCGCTCGGGCACGTGGCTTACAATCACCTCGCTTATAGAAGCATTTGAGGCACAGAGGAGGGAAAAGACATCCCTATGGAAGAAGACGTCCCGATTGACGAACACTTGGAATATGAGACGAGGGGACGAACTCCATAATTATCCCCCTCGCCTCCACCCTTGAACAACAAGGATGGTAAGGATACATTAGGACTTGGCTTAAAAACAGAGAAGGATTCTCTTCTAGAGTCATGAACGAAATTGGTATTGCAGAAGATGTTGTTGAAGAATTTTATGTGGCCGTTCACCCTGAGTGTGAGTGTAAAGTCTGCATTTGTTGAGTAGTGGATCCCAACTGTGAATGAGAGAGGAACACTTAGCCGAAGCTTTGAATATTGTAGCTAAACCGAATTTCGCATGGAAGATTTCTATAGTTGGCCCACATAGACCCTATTCTCCACACATTTATGTCGATGCTTCAAGTTGGCTTTATGTGGTGAAGAAACATATTATGCCTACGACACACAACTCAAAAATCAAACGAGACCGAATCATGCTTGTTTGCTGGATGAATGCTCCGCTGTTGAATTTTTTCAGAAATAATTTTAAATTTTAAGAATTTGAAATGGAGATGATTTTACATTTCTATTTCCTTTTGGCTTGGAGTTTTATGAGAAATGAAAAGAAAATAATATTCTGTTATGGGGCTCTCTGCGGCGGCTGGGCCTCATTCTGCTATTTATATCGGGTCCTTCAAATTAGGGTTGCACCAGGAAGCTATATGGACGCACTAAAATTGGTGCAAATAAGTTACTGCACAGTCATACGCTTTAAAGCATCCTAAGCGGCTTCATGGTGCATCAACACTTTCACAGCCTTGAAAGCACTTGGCTTGCCCTCAATAAATTCTCCAATTCTTAATATAACACATCCATAATTAAGCATAATTCATTTAAAATGAGGGAATTGAGAATTCTAATAGCTAAGGGACATAACTAAGTGATTTCTTCTATTTTCCATGGTCTTTTGATTAGGACTCTCACATTTACACATCAAAATTGTCAAATTATACCACAAAACACTCTCTTACGGAGAGTTATCATTACTACACTGCAATTCTCGCTCACAAAAAACAATCTAGCAAATGAAATTAGTTGATAATCAAACATACATGTCTCCCTTTTTATACTCTAGCAAGTAAAAGCAAATATGATTATAGCACTGGAAATAAGAACTTGCTGGGACATCGAATGCGATAGTAAAGGGGAACACTAGCAATAAATTGGAACATGGGAGGTTATTATACTGCAATTTTTACTCACAGAAAACACTCTACCAAATGAAATTAGTTGATAATCAAACATACATGTCTCCCTTTTTACACTCTAGCAAGTAAAAGCAAATATGATTATAGCATTGGAAATAAGAACTTCCTGGGACACCGAATGCAACAGCAAAGGGGAACACTAGCAATAAATAGGAACATGAGAGGTTATTATACTGCAATTTTTACTCACAGAAAACACTCTAGCAAATGAAATTAGATAATGCTCAAACAGGCATGACTCCTTTTCGAGATATCCAAATATTATTGTTCACAACTTCCGTTGCTAAAACTGCATAGTAAAACAGTTTATCAAGAAGGTTAGGTGAATTTGATTCCTGAACCTCCACAACCTACTAAAAAAAGTAGAGTAACCACAAGTAGAGTTCAATCATGCATCCGATACATTTTTCCAAATCATACAAGAGCCTGCAGTTCGAAAATGGTGGACAACAATTTCAGAAAGATGGACAAAGAAGAACAACTTTACTTAGTAGCTCAAAATTGTGCATACAATGTCTATTGTTACAAAAATACAACTAGCAATCCTCTCCCGAAATGAGGTTTATCACATTGGTGCGAGGAAAAACAAAATAGATTAAAGAGGGGAGCAACTCATTTTGTGAAAACTGAGGAAATACACAAAAGAATAACCAGCTACGCTAGAAAACAAGGGGCAACTCGCTTCCTCCCATAAATGGAATATCCACCCTTTGTGTTTTTTGACTTGTTGAACAGTGTTCCCCCTTGAGATCAGTTGTGGTGGTTGAGATCTAAAGAGTTTCTATATCGCTCCTTGATTTTAAGGCAATAGACAGTAACTGTATGAACATTTGGTAAATTCCATGTAAAATAAAAAATTACTACGCTGCCCAAGGATTTTTACAACAAGCGAGTCCTAGCTTTGAGTGTCCTAATATTTACCACTAGTTTACATGTGTTGCTGTTAATCATTCCAGTTTCCGTATAAACAGCTCAAAAACAAAAGAAATAAGTCATAATTTATCTCCTTTCATCAACGCAATGATTTCAGGCATGATTTTCTACTTCTTACATCATTTCTCATTTTAGTATATTTTTATGACTAGGATTCTCTCATTTGTGCTCAACTTGACCCATTATTCAGTCAAACTAACTGTTTTTAGATAGTTATCACATAGAAAACCCTAGAAGTATTCACAGAGTGACTACATTAATAGTGAAAAACGAGGAAGAAAATGCATCTATTGTTAGCAAAGTGCCTAGTGATCCATTCACCACACCACAAGTCACGATTCCAGGGGTGTAGGAGATTGATAATGGCTTGCATAAATACTTGTTGAGACCCCTTAGTTAGGTCGTGCCATCTTTAGGAGTTCCAATCATGGCGAAGAGACCATAATTCACGTGGTCTACAATCACCTCGCTTAGAGAAGCATTTGAGGCATAGAGGAGGGAAAAGACATCCCTATGGAAGAAGACGTCCCGATTGAAGAACACTTGGAATATGAGACGAGGGGACGAACTCCATAATTATCCCCCTCGCCTCCACCCCTGAGCAACAAGGATGGTAAGGATACGTTAGGACTTGGCTTAAAAACAGAGGAGGATTCTCTTCTAGAGTATTGAACGAAATTGGTATTGCAGAAGATGTTGTTGAAGAATTTTATGTGGCCGTTCACCCTGAATGTCAGTGTAAAGTCTGCATTTGTTGAGTAGTGGAATCCAACTGTGAATGAGAGAGGAACACTTAGCCGAAGCTTTGAATATTGTAGCTAAACCGAATTTCGCATGGAAGATTTCTATGGTTGGCCCACATAGACTCTATTCTCCACACATTTCTGTCGATGCTTCAAGTTCGCTTTATATGGTAAAGAAACATATTACGGCTACGACACACAACTCAAAAATCAAACGAGACCCAATCATGCTTGTTTGCTGGATATTGAATGCTCCGCTGTTGAATTTGGTCAGAAATAATTTTAAATTTTAAGAATTTGAAATAGAGATGATTTTAAATTTCTATTTCCTTTTGGATTTTAAATAATTAAAATTAAATTTATTGTTTGGAGTTTTACTCGGAATAAAAAGAAAGTATAACATTATGCCCTTATAAATTTTTTTGGGGATATTATATCAATAATGATAAAAGATTTTTATTTCGAATGGAAATAGTTTAATCAAATCAAATCAACCTAAGAAATTAATACCGGCAAATCTTTCTTATAACAGAAAATAAAACTTGCAAATTGAACAAAATAGAAACAAAAATACTTTCACAAAAAAACAAAAAAAAATATCGATTTGAAATATATAAAACTGCCGACCTCCTTGCAAGATCCGTCCTACATAATTAAAAACCTTCCTTTTATCCAACCAAACATTTCAAAGAACACGACGGATGATGACGGTGACAATAACAAAAAAGAAGGCCTGCCAAAGACTTTTACTATATTACTATTATGGGGTAAATCTAAGGCAGCACACATCGAGAATCCGATCAAGCAACGTGGACAACATCCACCAATACAAGATGATGGAAATCGAGCTTTAACCCGTGCGCATTGGATCTAGGGGTCGAGCGCACGTAGGAAGGAGAATGTTGGTGGTCCTCATGAACTAGGACGACCCTCCTCTCTCTTTCACTCTCTCTCCCTCTCTTTCTCTCCCTACAAAAGATCCCTGGAAAAACCTAATAATGGAGGTTAGCAAAAATTCCAACGGAAAATGATGCGCACACTCTCAAGCGGAAATGTAAAAACACGCCTCCATCAACAAAGAAAACAAAAAATTACAAAATAGAAAACCAACCCTATAGTCTGCTAATTGCATCTGATATGAGTAGAGATGAAGTTGCACGGAGGTTAATAATGGGTGTAAGAACGAGGACAAGTTTAAAACATGAAACATCTATTTTTCTCCCATAAAATTGGAATAATGTTGGTTTTTGAATTCAAAATCATCTCAAATTCATCCTATTTAGAAGGGAATGTTTTTGACCAAACGTTATTTGATTTTTTTTTTCTTTAAAAATATTTTCAAACCAAACTCCGAAAATGATTGACAATTTGTTTAGATTGGAAATCTTTCCAAATCTGGCTTCGAAATAAGGGGGAACTTCATTCTCTTGTTCTTCTAATTTCACCTATATTTAAACAACCTGGACCATCATCCATCAATATGAATAAAAGAAAAAGAAAAAAGAAAAAGAAAATAAAAAAGAATAGTAAAAAAAAAAGAATAGTAATAATAATTTCATCGGACAATGGCCAAGTCCAGTGTTGCAGTATCTTC